CGTTTATCCCCAGTGAGTTCAGCGCTCCAGTGTAAAAACAGGAAACCTCAGCAGGAACTTGGCAGACCTTTCATAGTCTATCTTGTCCCAAGTCAGCTCCAAGGCCTGCTGTTCTGCCTGAGTTTGGGGCAGCTTTTTAGCACGGGCGTAAATCACTCCCTCTGACCTCTGGACTTCTGGTCCAGACTGCTGTCAATTGTCAGAAAAGAAGTCTTGTGTCCCTGAAGTCCAGAAGAGGTCTGAAGTTTTTCATATTGTTATGTATGCAAAAATCTCAAAAAGAAATTTACCGTCAGTCAAAGCAGGATTTCAAACACTGCTGAGGCCATATTTTTCCGTACCTACTACGTGTCCTAAGAATATTCTTTGCCACTGTTAGCCAACAAGCCCAGTCACTTTCCAGACTCAAGAATCTTGCTTAGTTTTACTGTGTTTTTTCAGAAGTGGTCGTGGAAATGAGCTGCTGGTAGGATTCTAAACTCCGTGTTACTCTTTAAAGAAACGTGAGACCCCAAATAGGAAGGGCTTTGGCACACAGAACCCGGGGACCTTAGTTCATATTTTCCCACCTGTCAGCTTGTGTAATTCTGGGTTTTGTGGCCTTCATTAGGTTTCCTGCTTACAGTTTCCTGTCCGACTGAGACAGCCCTGGCTTTTTAGGAAGCTCAGCATGCTGTGTGGAGACACTGCCATTTCTGGTGCCTTTCCTGAATATGACTGCTACCTACTGAAAGAACCTGCATTAGGAGTTTTGACTTGTTGATGCCTCAGCTTCTGCTTAGTTTTTAGCCATTTCCAGTAGCACACTGAGTATTTAGAGAGTGTTCTTTTCAGTAGTTGGCTGACTCCTACCTTGACTCCTCCCCATTCCTTCCTGATCTGACTGTCTCTTCTCCTTATTTAGGGAGAGATGGTTATGTTTCATCCTTGGTGTTCGCCAAGCCCTTCCAAACTTAATAGCAGTTAAAAAAACAAAACCAAACAGCATTTCTGGACTCCTAAGATGGTAAATAGAAAGCAGAATCATTTTTTACTAACCCAGGATAAAAGCAAGAATTGATAAATGAGGTTGCATTCATTTAAAAAGCTTTTCCATAGCAAAGCAAACAGCAGATAAAAAAAAAGAAAAATAGCAGCATACCAATATCGCAAACATAAACAAAACAAAGCAAGAACATTAAAAGTCATACAGGGTTTCAAAACAAAATGATAGGAATTAATCATTGTTATGATTATAACAACAGTGGTTGTTATATTACATATTGTTATTGTCAACTACATTGCTCAGATTAGCGGATGTAAGAATGGAAGATTGTTCAAACCATTAAACAGAATAAAAAAATAATTTTAGATAAAACATTAGAGATAATACAGAGTTTCACTAGACAAGATGGTAGGAACTCAGCAATGGTTGTTCCATTGCATATTGTTGTCTTCAAATTACTTGCTCCAGACAGTGGATTGAAGAGAGCAGGAGAGAGTCTTTGCTAGCTATTTATCTGGTAGAGGATTAATATCCATAATATATAAAAGCCTTAATATTAAAATAATGAATAAGTCAATCAAAATTGGGCAGATTGATTGCTTATTGGAAATACAAAAGTACAAATGAACAGTAAGCGTATGAAAATGATTCATCTTTAGCCATCAGGGAAATGCAAATTAGAACTACATTGAGACTCTGTCTCACCCCGGTCTGAATGGCTGCTATGAAAAAAAATTGCTGATGACAATGTGGAGGAAAAGAAATATATACACATCAATGGTAGGAATGTAAATTAATACATCCACTCAGAAGAACAACAGAGGTTTCTCAGGTAACTAAAAATAGAATTAGCATATGATCCACTTAACACCATTCCTGGATATTTGTCTAAAGGCATTAAAGTCATCATGCAGACAAGGTGCATGCACATGTGTTTATCATGACACTATTTTACATCTGGCAATACATGAGTGGATAAAGAAAAATATATGTATGTGTTACATCTACACCTACATCCATGAAGAAAAATTAAATTATGCCATTTGCGGGAAAATTGATAGAAATGGACCAATTCATCACATGAATTGAAGTAAGGCAGACAAAGAAAAATAAGTATTATGTGCTTTTTCTTATATGTGGAAACTTGGGGGTAGGGGTGAGATGACCTGAGATTGGCAAGAGAATGTAGAAGGGAAAGTGGACATGATCAAATTAAGACATATATGTATGTGAAAACATCATGGTGAAACTTGTTAATTTGTGGAAACCCGACAGAATCCTGGAAGAGTGACTGCAACTCAGAAAAAGACTGAGTTGTCATTTTTGGAACACCTACTCACCCTTCTACTGTGATCTCAAGTAATGAAGAGGACATGAGGACAAGAAAAACTAAAAACTCAGCCTTTAAGAACAGAAGTGTTCTTTTAAGCACAGAACTTGATGAGGTCATATATTTATTAGAGCAGGAGTTCAAACAATATGAGAGAGTAAAGTAAGGTTAAATGAAATATATGGAACTAAAGACACAAAATAGGAACAAAACACTAGTTCAAAATTAATAAATAAATTGGAAATTATAATAAATACTTTAATGATCTGAAAATTCAATTATTGACATAAGGGGAAAACTTTAGAAAACTGTAGTGGAAGCAAAAGGGAGAATAAAAACCAAAGAGATTAAAACAGTTTAAGTCATCATAAGGGTTATCTAGGGTACATCTAATTGATTTACCTAAAGAAAAGAATCTTATTTCAAAGAAAATACTGAACAGAAAATTTATTGGAAGATATATTAGAAGAAAAGTTTTCTAAAATAAACCAAGTTCCTGGAAGGGCAAGGAATTCACAGCATTTTGGAGGGAATGTTGATCATTAGATGTTAAGATCAAATAGATAACTAAGAATAATTCTGCAGATAGATTGGAAATGTTACAGACTTTGACAAACGAAAGAGAGTCAGTTTGTATTTAAATTGAAACATTTAAAAGTTTTCCTAAAGTTTAGCAATTTATTGTCACTTGAGCTTCATTTTGAAATTTTATTGTCTTTGCAACACAAACTATTTTGTAGTTATTTTACCTGTGGTTTGAATTTTTACATTTTTCTTTAGAGCATAAGACACTTCAATTTTTTAAAACTTGTTTTGATCTAAAAATAAAAGACTTGTTTCAGAAAGTATGAGAGACAGTGAAATAATCATGTGTATCTCAGCAGGTACCGTGGTTGGACATGTCCTGTGTTGGGCTTGGCACAGGCAGATCTTTTTAGTTCCTGTGGGTCAGTTCTGTGAGCTGCCTTTCCGGGTGGCTTCTCGTTTGTCTTTTATAATTGCTGTTATTGCTTAGTTGCTTTCACTAGTCTGACCGCCCACCTCCCAGATTTTTTTTGCGGCGGGGGGGACTACTCACCATTGGTGGTGATTATTCGGTTTTCATTTTGCCTGCCTGACTCAGCATTAATGAGAAGCAGAAAGAACACATGATTGATTTTGTTGAATGCATCATGAGGCACGAAATCCAGTGGGAAAATGTCTTGTCATAAATGAGTGGACTGAAGAGTAAAAAGGATTTGCTCAACATCATTTTGTAAAGTCTAGCAATTCTGGTATTTTTCCTGTTATTCTTTTTTTTTTTTTTTTTTTTTTTTTTTGGTTTTTTGGTTTTTCTCCGGTACCGGGAACTGAACTCACGACCTTGCGCTTGCCAGGCAGGTGCTTTGCCACTGAGCTAAATCCCCAGCCCCTTTCCTGTTATTCTTTAGCTGAAGTGTTTTAGTCATGAGCGCTGCCTCCACTGTCCTTCTGATTATGGTGGGTAAACAGATCTAGAATGGAGTAATTTTTTTTTAATTAAACTGATATATGAGAGCACATAAACAGAGGTCACAGTGTAACTGGGATATCTTTATTTTATGTAAATGTTCATCCTTAGTAAGTACAAAATAGTTATTAAAATGTAGGCTTTTGATGTAGCCTAATACAAATTTCAGTTATTTATATTGTAACAGCTACTTGAAAATAATGAATGGATTAAAGTATTTGCCTTTTCTACAAATAAGTAATACATGGTTGAATAATTTTTGTTGATATGCCCAGGGATCCAACAAGTGGAAGCCAAACTAAATTTTACAAAAATACAATAGTTGACAGCTTTGAGGGTCGTTAATGCCACCTAAATGCTGCCTCTTTTCCAGCACAGTGAAAAATGACAGCACTTTCTTTTCTCTTCCCCTGCAGTGTTACCTGTCCGTCAGCTTGCTTCCTTATCTACTATTAATAACAAAGAAACATAGTCAGTGAATATTTGTTTCGTTAAAATGGCACTTTTTTAAAAACTAAAAACCATCATAATCTTGGGACTTTTAAATTTGTCAAGAATCCACAAATCAGTGGATTGTTTTACTTGCATAATTTCCCTTTTATTGATATAATTGCTATTACCAGTACTTGTGGTTCTACCAACGAGTATATCATAATCATCCATAGTATTTCCACTGAAATTATTATATAATAACCCTTTTCTCATTAGAATATCAGTATTTTGTATTTAGAAACTTGTTGAGAATCTTGCTTTCAAAGATCTACGTGTGATCAGCCAGCCAGCTCAGAGGTTGTGATTCCTCCTCTGTTGGGCAGCCTTTTTGTGCTGCAGTATCATCGCTGTCTGTGCTCAGCAGAAGGGGAGGGTTATTCACTTGTGAAAGATCTTGTTCCAGGACCAGCTTCCCCCAGAAAGAAATGCAGCATCCTAGAAGTGCACACCGACATCTCTGCATGTTTGCATACTTCGATTAACAACATTCTCTACATTGCCAGAATGTTATAAGAGTGCAGGTTTATTGAAAATGGACTTTCTTAGACTGCCTTCAGCTGTTACAGCACTCACATGATAGTAATCTTAATTATTTTTAAAGAAAAGTATTGTTGGTGTATGTACAATTTTATCAGATTTTTTTCTCTTCCCCCTGTCTCTGTCCCCTTCCCCTCCCTCTCTTTCTCTTTCTTTTTTCCCAGCAGAAATTCTAGAGGCTGGTGTTAAAGGAGCTTCAGAATCCCTGAAAGGTGTGAAACGGAAAAAGATTGTCACTGAGAATCACCTGAAGAAAATACCAAAATCTCCCCTGAGAAATCCTCTTCAGGCAAAACATAAGCAAAACTCAGAGGAATCATCCTTGGCTGTTCTTCACAGTGCTTTGGAGTCTCAAAAGAAACAAATCTGTATTCCTGTAAAAAATGGAGAGCAGCTAACCAGACAGAACAGAGACACGCTTGGGGTCGGGACGGAGGCCTCAAGCCCCAAAGACACTGCCTCTCCGAAGAAGCCTGTGTCCCTGCAGCACCCAGCCGAGCTGCGGAGATGGAGGTCAGAAGGCTCTGACCCAGCCGCACTCAGTAGCCTCCATGCAAAGTGGGACTCGAGCTCGTCGTCCAGTAAGGCCAGGACTGACACTAGTGAATGTATCTCTTCTCATTGTACTACTTCGCCTGTGTACACGAACACTGCATTTGATGTCTTATTGAAAGCAATGGAGCCAGAACTGAGCACTTTGTCACAAAAGGGCTCAACTAGTGCAATTAAGACAGAAAAACTGAGACCAAATAAAACTGTACGATCCCCTTCTAAATTAAAAAACAGTTCAGTGGATACCCCAAATCTGACTTCACAAGAATCCACTGCCGAATCACAGTATTCTCCTTGTACCTCATACCCCGTGCAAGTGTCAGCCGCTCAGCAGAATGAGCCGGGGCCAGTTCAGTCAGTTTTTCATTCAGATAATCAACATGAACACTTTGCTTCCAAACCAAACCAACACAGTCAGCAACTTCCAAGGCATTCAGGTTTCACGGGATCACTGACGAACCTGCAGAATCACGAGAGCACCAAACTTGAACAGGTTTATAGTATAGCGGTGGCGTCAACCGTCGGTCTCACTTCACCTTCCAGTAGAACTCAGGTTACTTCTCCAAACCAGCAAATGGATTCTGTTTCACCTATGTCCATAAGTCCAGCCAATTCTACCCAGTCACCTCCCATGCCAATTTATAATCCAACTCATGTTGCCTCTGTTGTTAATCAAAGTGTAGAACAAATGTGCAATCTTCTTCTGAAAGATCAGAAGCCAAAAAAACAAGGAAAATATATTTGTGAGTATTGCAATAGAGCTTGTGCAAAGCCTAGTGTGCTTTTAAAGCATATCCGCTCCCACACTGGAGAGCGGCCCTACCCCTGTGTGACCTGCGGATTTTCATTCAAGACTAAAAGTAATCTGTATAAGCACAAAAAGTCCCATGCACATACTATCAAGCTGGGTCTTGTCCTGCAGCCAGATGCTGGTGGCTTGTTCTTGTCCCAGGAGTCTCCCAAAGCACTTAGTATCCATTCCGACGTAGAAGACAGTGGGGAGAGCGAGGAGGAGGGCTCCTCTGACAGCAGACAGAACGACCCCGGCACCATGGAGCTGCAGCCTATGCAAATAATGAAGAGGATGTCCAGTTCTGAAGCTTTACTAAAACCAGGTTCCATTCCAAGCAATCCAGATTACGTGGTAGATGACTTTTCACCACAGGATCGATCTGCAGAATCACAGGCTGTGACTGAGTTGCCAAAAGTTGTGGTGCATGCTCTCAGTGTGTCCCCCTTAAGAATCGACAGTCCAAAGGTGGTCAACCCTAAGCCCGAACTCTGCAGTGCACAGAGGCAGGACCTTCAGGTAGCCAGTGTCCTGTCTCAGTCAGCCTGTGTGACCTCCCTGGAGAGTGATGAGAAGGCCCGTCAGAAAGTAGACACAGGTCAGCCAGAAGGAAAGCAAGACTCTCACGGAGGAGCTGCTCATGCCCAGCTACAAAGGCAGCAGGCCACCGATTACTCCCAGGAACAACAAGGGAAACTACTGCTCAGCCCTCGGAGTTTAGGGAGTACAGATTCTGGCTACTTTTCGCGTTCTGAAAGTGCTGATCAGACAGCGAGCCCACCAACACCCTTTGCCAGAACCTTTCCCACCACAGAACAAGACTTAGCCAAGAGTAGCAGCCCCTCTGCGCCTCGAGTCAGCACACCAGCGCCCTCTGCCCATCCAGCAGGGGAGAAGCCAGGGCTCCTACCAGGCCAGATGCGGCCACCCCTGGCAACAAAAACACTGGAGGAACGGATATCGAAGCTTATTTCTGACAATGAAGCCTTGGTAGATGATAAGCAGCTGGACAGTGTGAAACCCCGGAGAACTTCTCTCTCCCGACGAGGAAGTATTGATTCCCCCAAATCATACATATTTAAAGATTCTTTCCAGTTTGACTTGAAACCAATGGGACGGAGGACAAGTTCAAGCTCTGACATACCAAAGTCCCCATTCACCCCCACCGAGAAGTCAAAGCAAGTGTTTCTCCTGTCCGTACCTTCCCTGGACTGTTTACCTATCACAAGAAGTAACTCCATGCCGACCACAGGTTATTCAGCAGTTCCTGCAAATATAATTCCTCCCCCTCACCCACTGAGAGGAAGTCAGTCATTTGATGACAAAATTGGTGCATTTTATGATGACGTCTTTGTATCAGGCCCTAATGCTTCTGTGCCTCCAAGTGGACATCCTCGTACTCTGGTCAGGCAGGCAGCAGTGGAAGACTCGTCAGCCAGTGAGAATCATGCTCTTGTGCCTGGACAGCCCTTAGAAGAGGGCTATGCCACCAGTGAGCCTGCGGCGGCCCGGAACAAAGCGTTGGCACCAGGCTCACATGTGGAAAAGAAGAAGTCCCATCAAGGCCGAGGGACCATGTTTGAGTGTGAGACCTGTAGAAACAGGTACAGGAAACTGGAAAACTTCGAAAATCACAAGAAATTTTACTGTTCAGAGTTACATGGGCCCAAAACAAAGGTCACGATGCGAGAATCTGAACATAGCTCTTTGCCTGTCGGTGCACAGCCTCAGATTCTGCACTACAGAGTTGCTGGGTCCACAGGTGTCTGGGAACAGACGCCCCAGATAAGGAAAAGGAGGAAGATGAAAAGTGTGGGAGATGACGATGACCTTCAGCAGAACGAAAGTGGAACTTCTCCAAAGAGCTCCGAAGCCCTTTCATTTCAGAATGCCGTGAGCTCCAGTTGCAGTCTGTCTCAGCACGCTGTCACCATGACAAGTGACCAGCAGCACAGAGACAGGCAGGTACAGAGCTCGCAGACTCAGCTTGTTGCAAGGGGCATGGAGCAGAGCGTAGACCCGAAGCTGTCTCCCATTGCAGAGCAGCAGTTGAGCTCAGCTGCCCTAGACAGGGTGGAGGTGAAGAGACAAGGTACCGGCATCTCAGTCATCCAGCACACGAACTCCCTGAGTAGACCTAGTTCCTTTGACAAGCTGGAGCCTTTCGAGGGAGGCTCTCCAGGGTCCTTCCAGGAGCTGAGTCAAACTGGGAAGCCTGGGCCTGTGCAAGTAATAGGAATCTCCCCAGAGGAAGGTCACCCTTGTAGGGATGTGCAGCATCCACACCAGCCTACACTGTCTGATACCATCAGGGGAGAGCACTGGGAAAGCACCAGAAAGCTCCTAAGCGAGCGACATGTGGCAGGACAGATCTCGAGACTTGTCCGGCAGCACAACATCCAAGTTCCAGAAATTCTGGTCACAGAAGAGCCAGATCGGGACCTCGAAGCTCAGGGCCAAGATCAAGACAAACTGGAGAAGTTCAGTTGGCCTCAGCGCAGTGAAACTTTGTCAAAATTGCCAACAGAGAAACTGCCACCCAAGAAGAAGAGGCTCCGTCTGGCCGAGATGGAGCACTCTTCCACCGAGTCGAGTTTCGATTCCACGCTGTCCCGGAGCCTGAGCAGGGAGAGCAGCTTGTCTCACGCATCAAGTTTCTCAGCCTCCTTGGACATAGAGGACATATCTAAAATGGAAGCTTCTCCCAAAATGGATTTCCCAAACAAAGCTGAGTTTCTTCTGATTCCACCCGGCTCGAATACACTGAGTGTGCCTGGAAGCCACCGGGAAATGAGGCGAGCTGCTTCAGAACAGATCAGTTGCATGCAGGCGTCAGTGGAGGTGTTTGAATTAAGAAGTAAATCCTTTGACTGCGGAAGCATAACTCCGACCCAAGCAACACCATTTGTTGAATCACAGCCTTCAGCTTCCTCTTCTGGTGTAGGGGTCAGCGGACATGTGCCTCTGTTAGAGAGACGGAGAGGCCCACTGATCAGGCAGATCTCTTTAAACATAGCTCCAGATAGTCATCTGTCTCCTGCTAATCCCTCATCTTTCCAAAATGTTCCTCTGCCCAGCACAAGTGCAGGGCCCCTTCAGGGTCCTCAGCTCCCTAGCACATCTTTGGCTGAGTTCCCTGTGAATCCTTTGCTCTCCCAGTCTCAAGTTAAGGATCTGCAGGCAGAAATGTCAGATTCCAGCTCTGCTAAGGTCTTTCCTGTTCAGCAGCTTTTTGGTATCAGTTTGTTAAATCAAGTCCATACACCTCTCAGCCATGAGAGCTCACAGCTGCCTCTGCAGGTGTCTACACAGAGTGACAAGGTAGATGCCCATGCCGCGCTCAGTGTGTGTTCTAAGGGTGAAGATTGCTTTGCTCCCAAGTACCAACTTCAGTGTCAGGTTTTCACATCTAGCCCATCTTGTTCTTCTAATCCAGTGTGTCCTTTGGCGAATCAAGTCCCCTCAGATCCAGCTGGAGCAGATCCACATACAACCTCAGTAGTATTGCCAGCCAAATTAGTAGATCCTGTGTCTAATTCTTGTCCTCTGCCACCGCTGGAGCTCGGGCCACCTGGCAGCCAGACGCGGAAGGTACCATCGTCCTTCATGCTGCCTGTACACCTGCAGAGTACTGTTGCCACGTACTCTTTTGCCACCATCTCCTCTCTCCCACGAATCCTAGTGACCCAAGATCTGTCCAGCACACCAAATTGCCAGGCTGGTCAAAGTATAGTGCCAATCAGTGAAGAAAAAATTGCCATGCCAAAATCGCAGAAAGATCACCAGAATGCTTTGCAAAGCCCAGAAAAAGAACTTGTTTGTAAAAATATTTTTTCAGAGATAGGCCAAAATTCTGCTGTCCCAGAATCCTTGCCTATGACTCAGAAAATGTCTGTAGGTAGACTTTCCCCCCAGGAATCTTCAGTCTCCAGTAAAAGGATGCTGTCCCCAGCAAACAGTTTAGACATTGCCATGGAAAAGCACCAGAAGCGGGCTAAAGATGAGAATGGAGCTGTCTGTGCCACAGATGTGAGACCCGTAGAACCACTCACTTCAAGGGCTAGCGAGGTCACTAAGCAGAAGAAACCAGTTTTAGTGAGGCAGGTTTGTACTACAGAGCTCCTCGAAGGTGTGATATTGGAGCAGGATGTTTTTTCTCAGCCTGAAACTATTAGTGAGGCCGTTAACTTGACAGATGTTTTACCAGCTGATAATTCATCAGGACACTGTAAGTTTGTAGTTATAGAGCCTATCAGTGAACTGCAAGAATTTGAGACCATTAAGTCATCCACATCATTAACGCTCACAGTTCAAAATTCACCTGTGCATTTAGAGGATACCCATGTTTCTCCTTTGAAATCTATAGACAGTAACCAAGAAAGGAAGTCTCCAGGGGTTCAAAGTCAAGGTGACAGGGTGCACATTCAAGGACAAATCCAACTGCCTACCACCACTCTTCCATTGGGTAAAGCTGCAGACACGCAACAGCTGTCTTTCCCCAGCCTCAAGACTGCTACCAGCTTTACCTGGTGTTACCTGTTAAGACAGAAGGCCTTGCCTCTGCCCCAGAATAACCAAAAAATTTCGGCCTATACTGATTGGACAGTAAGCTCCAGTAACCCAAATCCACTTGGTTTACCTACAAAAGTTGCTCTCTCTCTCCTTAATTCAAAACAGAAGACTGGAAAGTCATTATATTGTGAAGCAATAACCACCCATTCCAAATCAGATTTATTGGTCTATTCAAGCAAGTGGAAAAGCAACTTAAGCAAGGTACTTGAAATATAATTTATGTTTAAATATGGTTTGTACAAATTAGTTTTAACATGTCTTGGTAGCTTTAAATATCTTAGAAGTATTTTAGTCTTGAATGACAAGTTGTACTATGTGTGTAGTTATTTGAAAGACGGAGTGATATATTTGCCTTAGGATTTGTACTGATAAGTGTTACATGGAGTCCTTTTTCTGAAAGCATTTTCAGAATGAAAGCTTACTCGTAGCACATTTTTCTTCCTCTCTGCTGACTGTGGTCCCTATGTAGTAGTATAGATAGCCCCAGTTTTATTTTGATCTTTTTCTTTTCTTCAACACTTTTCTCCTTGTTTATGTGAGAGGAGATTAAGGTTATGCTTTGTCCCTGCTGGTGCAGGAAGACAGAGATGTGGGTAATCAAAGAGTGACATGTTTTCTTGTCATACAAGCGGAGAGCCATTCCCTCTGTCCTATGGGTGCTAACTACTCTGCCTCCGCCACACCCACCCCAGCTTTCTTTCCACACAGGTCTGGGCATCATTGGTACTGCAGAGGAGATTCAGAAAGTAATGAACTCCTATACTTGATAAGTTGACTTGATGAGGATTTATAGTATAAAGTTGTGAAACTGTAAGTTTGGGTAATTTTTCAAATCAATCTCATAAAAATTATTGGTTTTATAAAATGAAAAAAATCATGTAAGTTATTAAGAAGAAATACATAGATGAGTTTATTAACATTGAACTCTGGACATTGAGAATTATCTACTAAGGTTTTGACCTCTACAGGCTCACAACCTATAAATACAGGCTCATGAACATTTACATAACTGTAAAGAAGAAAACATTGCAGTGTCGCCGTTGTAGTTGACATACGTTCAATTCTAAAACCAGGAAGTCTTTAATATTGCCAGTAGGTAAGGGAAGTGTGGATATAGGAAGATACTCCAAAGGTAATGTCAGCGATATTTCAGCTGAGTCTCAAAAAATAATAGGGATTTTTCAGGCAAACAATTTAAAATTTTTAATAGACCACTAAATGACGTGGAACCAAGAAATTTGGGTCATTTAAAGAACTGCATGAAGTCTGGCATGACCAGAGGGTCTGTAAATTTGAAACAGTAACATACTTTGCAGAAAGATCCAGGTGGAAGGGGTATATTCTCCAGTCCCACTCCAGTGGTGAGATTGCTCCAGGAGTGTATAAAGAAGAGGAACAGCTCAGGAGGAGTCCACACATCTCTATTTAGAGGGTTAAAAAGATAAAAGATGTCCACACAGGAAGCTGAAAGAAATCGTTGTAGAGGAAGAAGGAGAAGCAGGAGAAGGCGGTGTCACACAGACCTGTGGGCCAGTGTATCATAGGAGTTCAGGGAGGGAAGTCAGATACGGGTGAAAGCAAACAGAAGTGTCTGGGATGGCCAGTTGTAATGGCGCTGGAGTCTTCAGTTCATGAGCAAGTGGCATGGAGGATTCAGTTCTGGGATGATCCTTAGCCACAACCCAATGGAAAAAGAGTAGGCAGATGCCATACACTAAAAGAATTTCTAAGGGAAAGCAAGGTGTCAGTAACACCTGATGCCCCGGGATGGTCAGAATATTAAGACTGGAGGAAAGGGTGATGATTTGGGCACTTTAACCAATTGAAAACATCAGTGGGTAAAAGCTGGATTTGATAGTAGGAAAGTGACCAACAGATAGAGGGGGATTTGATACTGATGAGAAGGAAAGACGGCAGGTTATTGTTAAAGAGCTAAAGTCAAGGAAAGGTATGTGCAAATAGTCCACCTTGTGGGGAAGCCTGATCTTTTGGCCAGGCAGAGCAGAGACAGGTGTGCTTTTTAACTGCTGGCGTGGTCGTGGTGGCACACCTCCGTCCGCACTGCCTGCCTGCAGCTTTTCTGTCCTCTTGTGAGGACAGGGACTTCACGGTGTACTTGTCTGAGGCCACATCGGCCCTCAGTCATTGTGTACACTCTCCTGTCACTTAGTGGTACTAAATCAGTTTTGCAGGGTAATAGCTTTCTGCGTGGCAGTGTAATTATTTGAAAATTTATATAAAAGAAGGCTTTGATTACAGAGGTTTGTTCCTCTTGTTAGGTTTAGCCAAAAGGCTGGATTTGAGCCTTTGCTATTAACATCTACCTTGGACTACTAGTACCTTCACCCTGATAGATGTGTAGGGTGACCCAGCTGTACTGCTGCCTCACCAGGATGCATGAGCTCGGAGGACGTGATGGTTGAGAAAACTCACCGTTGGTGGTGCACGGTTTAGAGTCTTGCATAAAATCATAAATTGTGTTTCCTGTGGGAAAACACATTGTTTATCATTTGGATGTTCATTACCTTTTTCTAAGGACTTAATTATTATCCAACCAAAGCCTAATCTGACCTGGATCTCACAAATGATCAGTATTCAGGGAACCTTTGAGAAGATCTAGAGAGGAAATATACTTGTGGTTTAAAATAATAGGGGGAAGGTAAGCCGACTATAAATGGAGCTTCTGCTTTATCTTTAGAGTGGGTGTAAGCTGAGGAGATTTAGTGATGTTTCCTGGAGATCTGAGGCATTATACTAAGGTAAATAGCTCTTTCCCATCTCCAAAGAATAAACCCATAAAGCAATATATTTAAACTGTAGTATCAGTGGTTAAATGTTACAAAGGAGTCTGTGAGAGTTCCTGTTAATGCCAGATATTTGGGAGGATGAGGCTTGGGAAGGTGAGGCATGAGGCTAAAGAGTTGCAAGTTCAAAGCTAGCCTTAGGCAATTAACAAGACTTTATCTCAAAACAGAAAGGACTGAAGACTGGGTAGAGTGCTTCCCAGCATGCTCAAGGCCTTGGGTTCAAGCCCCAGTACCGCCCCCCACAAGTAAAGAAATCCCTCTTAAATTCGCAGAATACCAAAAGTGGGAAGTTTGTCTTGGAGTGTCAGAGCTGTGGTAGGATTATTTACAATATCATAGGATGAATCAGTTTGTTGTGGTTTAGACAGATGAGAGAAGAGAAAGCAAATAACCTTTTTTAAAATCTGTTACTGCTTAAAAATGCATTTCCTTAAGTTAACTAATGGTTTATACTCCGTGGCATTTAAATTTCCAGTGAAATGTCAGCATGTTTGTGTTTTCAGTTTTATTAAATTAGTTTCTCTCTTTTTTCCCTTTCAGAGAGTATTAGGTATTCAAAAGTCCACAGTAGTTGAACTCAGCAGTAAAGATGCCTCTGAAATTAACAGTGAGCAAGATAAAGAAAATTCATTAATCAAAAGTGAACCAAGAAGAATTAAAATATTTGATGGAGGGCAAGTACAAAGTTTACTTCTTAAATGTACATTTAAACTTACTTTTTAAATGTACATTTACTTCTATGTGAATTAGGAGTACCAATTTTATTTAAATGTTTCAGGATTTGGGGGTTTACTAAAAGACTCTTTGCGGCAAAATATATATATTAATATTAATTCCATTCTGATAGAGAAAATAACGACCAGGAAACACTGGAGGCCTCAGAGAGAGCTATGAGCTGAAATTTCCCGCTCACTTCACCCTGGCTTTCTGCAAGGGATGAGTTGGAGAATCCGCTCTAAGACAGATGGACATACTGCCTGTTTCATTGATGTCTTCAGTGTATTTTATCATGAGAAAATCATTGTCAAAATCAATTGTAGTGAAGCCCAAAGTTTTCAGTTCTTAGAGTTATTGTGATTGAATTTAGTAGCAAATAAAACTTTTAAATATCTTACAACAGAAGAAATGTTTTTAAGTTAAGCATAATACTGAATACATTTATTTGATTAGAATTAGCTTTTAGAACATTGTTAATGGGAAAAGTTGGAATGTTGTGTTACTTACCTTTATATATATATTTTTATACACTTAGTATGAAAGTTGTGTTTATTTTGTAAGTAGAGTTTTAATCGTGGATATTTTCGCAAAGACATCGTGTTCAATATAATTAATTTTTCTCTTCAAATTAGATACAAATCAAACGAAGAGTATGTGTATGTCCGAGGCAGGGGAAGAGGAAAGTACATTTGTGAAGAATGTGGAATACGCTGTAAGAAACCTAGTATGTTAAAGAAACACATACGAACTCACACAGATGTTCGCCCCTACCACTGCACTTACTGTAACTTCTCCTTTAAGACGAAAGGTATGAGATACCCACTGCTTCATGGTCCTATTCATATGCATTTACGTAGAAGAACAGGACTTTACATATTCTTTGAAGGATATCATAGAGTAGCTTAAATTAATTAAATTACATCTTGTCAGCATCGTAGTTTTCTTTGTTTCTAGAACCTCTGGGAAAAGTTAATTGTGCATTTTTAGAAAATATATGTGAAACATTTTAAAAGGAGCAACTGCCCTTTCTACAATATTCCCTAAATTACAATTGGACAGGATGATGACTAATACATTTTCAAAAATACTTACTTTGGACTGAAGAAGAAAAAGAAGTTTTCGTGATTACAAGTAAATTCATTTGGGTCTTCAAAGCTAAGACATTTAAAATAATAGTCACAGTAAACTGTTATAATTACTCCACCCATGTTTTATGTCTAATTTTAGGCATACATAGACATTTTTCTGATGCATTTTTAACCCAAATACTGTTGTTTTTTTTAACTTCAGATTTTTTCTTAACATGTCTATTTATTGTTTATAAAAAGATCTCAGAAGTAGTCATTACAGTTATATTTAGCATCCATTTTATTTTCTTTATATGTTTTTATTTAACTGATAGGCTATTATTATAAAGTAGTTTTGCTCTGTATAAGTTTTTTGTTATACATAATAGATATTGCTGCTGTAAAGTACTTGTTTTCCTCATAGGCTCCTTGTATATGAATCATCATAGAAATATTTGTTACTTGAGTCTTTAATTTTATGTACTTCCTTTGAAATAGCAAGACTGTCCAACAAACATAAACACGAAAATATGTCTCAAAAAACAGTATCTGTAAAAAGTACATTTTATAGAAACTTTTTAACCCTTTTGAGTTAATGTTGGCTTTTTTCTGTTACATTAGTTGAATTCAGTTATTTTGTAAAGATTGATCAATTCTTTAGCAAAACATACTATATTTTTGGGGTATTGTTGACATTTAAAGAAAGTTGCAACATGTAACAATTAAACAGCTTCAAATAGCTCTCTTAAAATGCCAGTAGTATCTGAAACAATGATGGAAAAAAATGTTCATTTCAGATTGCTTGGAATATTTCTAAAGTTCCAAGAAGTCAGGGGTGAGAGGAATATTCAGTGGGTAGTTCTTCCATAGGTGTAGACGCTGTGGGAGACAAGAGGACAAGTTTGAAGGTGATTTGTTCAGTCCTGCGTGAGTCGGAGGGAGTTCAAGCACCTAGAGCTGATGTATTCCTTTCCACTGTTTTTGACCTTGTGCTTGAAGAAGTATCGATTAATTTCTAGTATAAGAATAGAAACACATTCAAAGCACTAAATAACATTACTAATATAAGATTTACTGAGTAGAGAATAATGTTACCAATTACAAGAAATAAAAAGGTATGAGAAAAAGACTAATTTTCCATAGAATGAAGCAAGGGATTTAGGGTATTTCAGGGATTTTATTCATAAAATAAGGGCAAGAAAGAAAGGACAAGCTAGCAGTGGAAAACCAGATGAAACTACAGAGATTTCTTGGTAAGGAGAAATATTTTCAGTCCCTAAATATTTATCTTAGTGAAATAAAAGCATCGTGCAAGAATTTAGATAAGTGTTTACTAAAGTTTGAGCAGAGCTTGCTGGCCCTTGGAAAGTGAGCCATATCTGTTGACAGTTTCCACACCTATATGCTGCACATCTGAACTCACATTGTATTTTTGTTTTGTCAGGTAAGCCATGTGAATTACATGACTTTTGTTTTGTTTCGTTTTGTGTTTTTGAGACAGGGTGTCACTGTGAAGTCCAGGCTGGCCTTGAAATCACTGTGTAGCAGAGTCTGGCCTCAAACTCACAGCAGTCCTCTTACCTTAGCCTCCCCAGAGCTGGGATTACAGGCATGCACCACCACACACTGCTGGAATTACATGATAAATGTTTATTTGACAAGACTATCTACGCTAGCTAAGGCAACTGATAAAAAATTTGGAAATTCATTTTTTCCCTATTTTTAGCAAGACAGCTCTCATGTTTTTAGGGTCAAATTCCTTTCAAAAGTCTAAGCTTTTGTAAATCTATGTGGAGCAGATCCCTAGACAGTTTTTAAACATAGCTCACTGTAATGAATACCAGTACCCTTTGTCCTAATAGGGGTTAATGTTTTGCTGTATTTGCTTCATGATTTAACTATATTTACTGTAAATGTCCAAAATAGCCTACATAAGCCAGGTGGTGTTTCCAGAATCACAGCAATCAGCAACTGAGATGCTTGTAGTCCAGCCAGCTCTTTATGCCTCAGCTCTGGAGCACTCAGTTCTGGGATGCCGTGCAGTGGGTTGACTAGAACCCCCTTCTAGGGCTAGAATCAGTGTATGCAAGTGTGGCCAGGTTCACAGATTCAATGCATTTGTCAGGAAATTGAAACTCTGTAAATAAGCAAATTTTGTGGGCTTTTTATTTTTCTAAAGGCTATTTTCAAATACTCATTTGCTCTTGCCCCTCAAAAGAGATGATTTGACCTGGTTGGCACAAGGTGCTTGGTGTCCTCAGAAGAATCTGACTTGTCCCCTTGCATTTATGATCAAGTGGGGCAAGTGGATCCTGGTTATACTTACAGAGATGGATATAGCAACTGTGGAGAAGGACCTCAGACATACTGTTGCTACAGGTCCCATCAGCACACGAAGTGAAGTTCTCTCTCCTGTTCCGCATGTGCACACACAGAGGTCCTGCTTAGAATATTTTTTAAAGGATCCAAAATGGTTTATCATAGTCACACTCAAAAAATCTTTACACCCTTTCCCCACCAGCTCAAAAATTTAAAATACAGATTTCCCAATATAAAAAATACAGAAGACATTTAAAAGCAGTGTGATAAACAGGTACTTGTAAAAATCTAAAGATCCGTTGGGGAATCAAAGCCAGATTTATACATATAGACCTGGGTTTTTAGTGCCTATTCTGAGATGGAATCTTAGGCACCTGAATTAAACCTGGATCTCCCATTCCTTGACATTGGGCCCTGTGGGGAAATAAGTTTTCTGCTTGAAGGCAGAACACTTTACGTATACCATCCAAGCAGACAGACAACAACAACAAAGTGATCTGAAACCACCAAAACTGGTTAGGTACCAGGCAGAAGCAATTGGGAAACTGCTATAAAAGATGTTCCTACAACCAGCTTCCTTAGGACTGCATGGGAAATGATCTTGAAGTTAGCTTACAATGAAAACTAAAAAGCAGGGAAACCAACTACTGTGAGAGAGAGCCAGCAGACACAGTGAGTGTGAATTCCCACTCCAGGAACTAACAGCTGCGGTGCTGTCTGAAAGGGACTGTATGTGTACCATGTTCTGAGAAGTCAGTAAGCAAGAGGGAGTAGAAACCCTGGGGCAGACCTAGATACAAAGTACAGGAGGCTGATTTGGAGAAGACACTGTTACTAGTAATTAGCAAAGCTTTTGCAGTGTATAGATAGTAGTATCTTCTTATGTCGAGATTCAGTCATTGCCTGTTGAACCACAGTCTGTGCTTTTGCTTTACATAGGAATGGAATTTGCCAGTGTTAAGTGCAATAGCAAAATGTTACTATGTAAGCTTAGTAAACGTTCTTTTCCTTTCAGGAAACCTTACAAAACACATGAAGTCCAAGGCACATAGCAAGAAGTGTGTGGATTTAGGTGTCTCAGTAGCTTTAATAGATGAACAAGATACAGAAGAATCAGGTAAGGCTTTATACCGTATTTTTCATAAATGCTGTCTACAGTGTACTATTTGTTGTGCACCCATGGCCTCCTAGTCAGTTTCCCCACCTTAAACTTCTGTCCTTCCCATCCATCCACACTGATGCCTCACTGAAGTTGCAGTGATGTTAAATTAATCTTCCACATTGCTCCACTGATGAGAGGTTTTCATTGGTTCCCAGTTGTCTTCCGAATACATGTGAACCATGTGACCTCTGATGGCAGTCCTTTACTGTCAGTCACCTACTGCCCCTTCGCCCTTCCCATTTCCTGTTCTCATCCACCCTGATGCTTAAATTTCCTGCTTATCTGACTGCTCCTGCTCCCCACCTTTACAGCCCTCCCTGAAATCACCATCCTCACTCCCCACATGCTGTGTTCTTCTGGTGTGCACTGGTCAGAGTCTCCCCTTTCCTCAGAATGTAGCACCGATCCATTGTGGTCGTGAAGCCTTCTGTCCTTGTCTCTTCCACACACTTGTGGAAGGCAGTTACTCCTCTTCCTCTCTGCCTTCGGCCCTCTCTGCTCCCTTTTTTGATTACCTGCGTGTTTCCTTCCCTCCCCACCAGGGTGCGCAACAGTGAGAGCTGAATCCTAGGTGCAGTGGCCTCTGCCTCACTGGCAGCTCAGTGCAGCCTTGTGCATTGCTTGGGCTCCATCAGTATTTGTGGAAGAAAACGTTTGCTGAAGTGAATGTCAGAAACAGTTCTTATTTTGAAAAAGTTACCTGGTTTTTTTTTCAAGTGTTAGCCCAACATATCTAAATACTTAGCTCTGACCAATTTGGAGGGAAAATGAACCTGATAGTCTATTCTGAGTAATCAGAGAATAGAATTATCTTTTTGTAACAAAGATTTCTACGTTACAAAGCAAAAGAGAATTCTCAACAAAAGAGAATTTTAAGAAGATATTTTGTTGCATTTTAAAAATGCCTTAGGCTGGGCGTGGTGGTACATGCCTGTAATCCCAGCACTCGGGAGGCTGAGGCAGGGGGATTGTTGCAAGTTGGAGACCAGCCTGGGCTGCAAAGTGAGTTCAAGGCCAGCCTGAACCTGCATAGCAAGATTTTGTCTCAAAAAGACCCCCCCCAAAATAAGAAAAAACCCTTATATTTAGTATTTATCTGCTTGCCACATTTTTCTTCATTTTTATTTTCTTGTATAATGAAAAATTCTAGAGCGAAAACAAGAGCATCATGGAACCTGTAGGTTAAAATATCAACTCTTTTATCTGACAAATAATAAAACACTAAATGAATCAGCCGAAATTTATGTGTAAATATTCAGGAGAACTGACTCATTTATTAAGTACTAAGAGCAATTCAGCTGTAACAAGCTGGGAAAAGTATGTTCAGTTTTAGTAAGTATGTTTATTACCCACTGACTAGGAAAGTTAAAAGGTACAGGTAAAACACTGGTGTCTAACGAATGTTGCTGTAAAAGTGCTGTTATAAAAAATACTGTTACGTTTGACTTCGTCTTCAAGATGAATCTTATAAAAATTAACTAATGAACCTGTGTGTAGATTCCTCTCAACTATAAGGGTAGACAGTACTTCTGTTCTAAGTTTGCTTAGGAGAAGTAAGTGTGGTTTCCATCAATTATCATGCGTTGTTTAAATTGGCTGACTAGTTGATTTACAGACCTATCTTTTCATTTTAGTGTTTTCATCTCATTACCAGAGTGTTAGAAGCTGCTCTTAGATTACAGTGGTACCTGTGTTCACAGACTTAATTCTTTCCATGATTCTGGTCACAGAATTTATTCTACAATTCTGGTTGTAACTGAATTGTAAAATTGTGCAAAACATTCTGTGGCCAGAATCATAGAAAGAATTAAATTTGTGAACCACTGTATACATCAAAGTTGATTAGTTATTAATCGACAGGGATTAGTTATTCTGATAAAACAAGGTTGTTTCACCTTTTCTTAGTGTAATTTTATAAATTACTACATTTATAGGAAATGTGCTCAAAGTTTCTTCCCAGTTTTTGTCAGGTGGTAAAATGTAACGTAGAAATCTAAAATCTGGAGAGACTTACAATTTTTCATTGCTGTGCCAGCAAAATACATCCTCTCTTTTTGCTTTATTGTAGGCTTGTAATAAGACATTATACAGATGCTGCAAACAAATAGACATATTTTCCTCTTATGCTGTTTTTATGCTTTTAAAAAAATTTGAGTTTTCTAAAATTCAAAAAGAATATAAAGAGTTGTAGAACATGTGCGCATGTGTTCGTACCAGAGTTGGTGATTCCAAGAATTCTGTCCTAAGGCAGTACGCACAAGCTGCAGCTCTGCTTGTTATTGTGGCCTCTGCCTGTGCGAGGCATTGGGGGTTTCCCTTCGCTTCATTTAACACCCCTGCATACACCTGTGAGCCAGGAGCATGGACATAATTTTATTATAATATGTATAAACAGTACCACTTTGTAGACATCTAGGACATTGATTTTATTTTATAATTTTACCTTGTTTTCCGGAAGAGACTTAACCATTTCTCTACCTCCCTCACATAATATTATCATAATTTTAATTTTTGGCCAATTTGATCAGTGATAGTTTGTCATCTTTATTTGTGGTTTCTTGATTACTCAAGTCAAATCTTCATTATTTTTTCAAAAGAACTTTTACTCGGTTATGTTGATGATACCGTAGAGATGTGGAATTTTGCTTAGCAGTTTTGGTGGGCCTGTGTTTGCGAGTGTGGGGGGCCGGCCTGTACAGTAAGGAAGCAGGTGCCTGCAGGGTGTGCGCCCTCCCTGGAGCGTGCCCCTCTTTCAGCCTAACGCTAGCCCAGCTCACCATTTTCTTCCTCCCTTTTGCTCCATCTTCCCACCCTTGACACATGCACCGTGGGTCTCCTCACCCATCTTTGCTCGGCCCTGCGTCTGTGATGGCGAACCTTTTAGAGCTTCAGTGATACAAACAGCGCTCTGCAGCACGCGCACCATAGATCTGCCACCGCTGCTTTAGGTCATCTCCAGTCTTGCGACCTTGAATACCATTTAGGTGGGAATGACACCCCATTCACTCCAAGCTTGCTTCCCTATCATCTCTGTTCGGAAGTCTGACATATGTTCACATTTTTTTTTTTAATTTTAAAGAGATAAAAAAATAAAAACAATACAGAATTTCAAAATTGTGTGTTGTTTCCTGTGATAGGAAATTAGCAATGGTTATTGTATTGCATGTTGTTATCTTCAAAGTAGTTGCTCAGGTAGAGGCATGTGAAACTGATCGTAAGCACTAATGATTCCTTTCAGTGAACTAATAGAAATTAGTAGTACAGTTATCTTAGCTGTCCACATTCACATTTGATACTTCCCAAAGTCCTGAATTGCCCTTTATCTCAAAGACGCGCACTTCCCTTGTAGACCTCTCCTGGACTTGCAGTTGCTTGACCCAAAACCGTGACGTTACCATCAGTGCTGCTTTTTTTCTCATTTCGCCTTTAATGTACCAAATAAAATTCCCTAGCTCCTCCTCCACACTGCTCACGTTCCTCCGGTGTTAACCCTGTCAGGGGAGCATGCCATGGCCTCTGCTAAATTGCTTCTCGCAGCTCCTGGCTGGCCCCTGTGATGCGGCCCTGCCTCTCCTGGACCTTTTCCTACCCTGCAGACACAGTAGTCTTCTAAACGCTTGGGCAGCCCCTGGCTTACTGCTCCCACAGCTTCTGGCTCCGAGGACCGCTCTGCTTCCCCCACCACAGTCTCTCAGATGCCTTCCCACTCCCTCCTCCCTTGCCCACTATGCAGCAGCCACTCAGCCTTCTCTGAATGCATCCCGCAGGCTCCTATCTCAGGACCTTTGCACCTCTTCCACCAGGCCAGCCGTGCTCTGCTCAGAGGTCCCCTCTCACCAGGTACGGGGACGAAAACACCCCACGCTGTCATTGTCCACATACTTTTGCCTCTTACCTCAGTGTTTTTTTTTTTTTTTTTCCTTGCACCAGATAATATGTGTACTTTTTTTTTTAGTATATAGCTACCAGATATGTGTACTTTTTTTTTTTTTAATCTATTCCAACTGGTAGAAAATAAATTACATAAAGATAAGAATTTGGTATTGCTCACTGCCCTAGGATTCTGCCTAACATAGAGTATGTAGTGAGCAATTGTTACTAAATTGACGACTGTGAAGACAGTGTTATATAAATAATTTTCAGGAAATAATTCAATGTTATCATTTATAGAATTTGATTAAAAATTTCTATTAAATTCCATCTCTAAAGTTGAATGGTAGGGGCCGGGAATATAGCTCAGTGGCATAAGCACCTACCTGGCAAGTGCAAGGTTCTGAGTTCGATTCCCAGTACCAAAAAAAAAAAATTGGTAGGCATAGTAGATGCACTATTTATACCTTTTTCTATAAGTGATAGTTGTTATATCAAGAGCTGATGTAAGTATTACGAAGTCAGTTGTTAATTTGCTGTTTACTGGCCCCATTGATTGGGTCCAAAGATTATAAAATGATTCAGATTTTCTAACTGTTCTAGTTCTCATCCTTAATAATGGACTGATTTACAAAGATCTGACCTACATCTCAGTAGCTCCAGAAAAGCAAAGTTCATTCTCTTTCTGACTGATTGACTTATTTCTTTGCACTTGGACAGGTTTTCAACAAGTGCAGGACTCCTGTCTTCCCAGAGCACTCGGTACATGGCTGTGGTGCCTTGGGCCGACCCTACATGGGTGGGGCCGCATCCAGCATGGCCAAGCTGCTGCAGAAGGAGGACGAAGAAGGGATTGTTTCTCCTTCACTGTATTATTGGAAGGGTCTTGATGGAGCAGTGGGTAGGGGGCGGTGCGTTCCAGACTGAGGGACTTGTTTGGCAGGGATGCATAGGTGGAGAGGCGGGCAGTGCCCTAGCCTGTGAAGGGGCTGGCAGACAAGAGACCGCTATGCAGGGAGCTCGGGGGAAGCACTTGTTCTGGGTTTTTGTTTCCTGCTCACTGATTCTCTGATACAGTGAGTCTT